GGGCTGTGGTCAGTCAGTCACCAGTGCACGGCCACCGGCCCCACGAGGCTGTTCACACGTGATGATAAAGCCGGCCAGCCCTCCCAGTGGATTCTGTCCACGCTGATGGGGATGCGTGTACACGTGGGCTGAGCCCTGGGTCCGCCTCTGGACCGTCCCGGCGTGGGGTCGTTCACGCCCTCCTTTACACTCCACGGTCCCCACATGGTCACCCGGGAACCACGTGGGCAAGCAGACGGGGTCTTTCAGCAGAAATGCGAGTCCCCAGTGATGTCAAGTTGTTGATGTGATGAACGATGGGGTTTTTAAAATTGTGGTAAGAAGCATTCTCAGCCCTGCAAAGGAGAACCCATCCCCCTCCCCCAGCACCTGGCACCACTAGCCCACTTTCTGTCTCTGTGGATTTGCCTGTTCTGGACGTTTCCTATAAATGGAATCATACAGTTTGTGGTTGTTCTTGGCTGCGTGTTTGTGTCCCTCCAAAATTCACGTGTTGAAATCCTAACCCCCAAGGTGATGGTATCAGGAGATGGTGCCTTGAGGAGGTGATAAGGTCATGAGAGTGGAGACCCCATGAATGGAATTAGAGGGGGGGTTTTAATAAATTTATTTACTTTTTATTTATTTTTGGCTGCACTGGGTCTTCGTTGCTGTGCAGTAAGCTGGGGCTACTCTTTGTTGCAGTGCGCGAGCATCTCATCGCGGCGGCTTCTCTTGTTGCGGAGCATGGGCTCTAGGCACACGGGCTCAGTAGTTGTGGCATGAGGGCTTCAGTAGTTGTGGCTCACGGGCTCTAGAAAGCAGGCTCAGTAGTTGTGGCGCACAGGCTTAGTTGCTCCGCGGCACATGGGATCTTCCCGGACAAGGGCTCAAACCCGTGTCCCCTGCACTGGCAGGCGGATTCTTAACCACCGTGCCACCAGGGAAGTCCAGAATTAGTGTTCTTATAAAAGAGACCCCAGAGAGCTCCCTCTGCCCTTGCTCCATGTGAGGACAGTGAGAAGACACCGTCTGCAGCCGAGAACGAGCTTCGCCAGAACCTGGCCATCCTGACACCCTGATCTCAGACTTCTGTCCTCCAGAGCTGTAGGAAATACATTTCTGTTGTTGAAGCCCCCAGCCTGGTATTTTGCTACAGCAGCCCAAGCAGACTAAGAGAGTGTCCTTCTGTGCCTGGCTTCTCTCACTGAGCATCATGTTTTCAAGGCTCATCGGCATTGTAGTGAGTGTCAGTGCCTCACTCCTTTTCATGGCTGAGTAATACCATTGTGTGGATGGACCACATTGTGTGTATCTGTTCTCCTGTGGATGGTCTGTTACCTGTTGATGGTCATTTGGGTGATTTCCATCTTTTAGGTGTTGTGACTCATGCTGCTATGAAGATGCGTGCACAGGTGTTCGTGTGGACATGTTTTCCTTTCTCTTGGGCTTATACGTAGGAGTGGAATTGCTGGGTCACGTGGTGACTCCATGTTTGACACTTTGAGGAACTGCCAGACTGTTTTCCAAAATGGTGGCACCATTTCACATTCCCACCAGCGGTGTTTGAAGGTTCCACTTTCTCCCCTTGTTATCGTCTGTCTTTTCGATTCTAGCACCTTAGACTCTCACCCCTTTTATATCAAGTACTTTGGAACACTCCCCTCACCTTCTGAAATCAGATGCAGAGATAACATAATCTCTCTACACATATAATTTAAGTATCATTATGTATATTGTGTATGTATGCAGCTATAGTTACAACAGAGAGGAGAATTCAAGATAAATACATTTAAATAAAATAAAACATAATTTAATAGGTGAGTGTTTGGCTTCGACTACACTAAGTAATCGGATGCTTGCTTAAAGTTTTCTTCAGTTTAGATTTAAGAAAAGGCAGGTAACATTCAACTCGACTTTCATATTTAACATTTTTAAATGAGGACAAATAGGAATCTCTCTACATAATTTGAATTACTGTGCTGACGGTAATACTGTTGGGGAGGGGGACCTTTTGCCCTCTCTCCCTCCGGAGTTCCTGTGGTTGGACTAATAATAAAATTGACACAAGACAGATCAACAGGAGAAAAAGAAACAAATTTGATTCCTGCACACAGAGGTCTCATAGAAATGGGACCCAAGAAGTAGTCAAAACAGGCAAAAAAAAAAAAAAATTATCATTCCCGCAAGGAGATGGAAGGATGTCAAATGAAACAGGACCCAAAGGGAAAGGATCAATGGCCAAAGCAGGAATAAACAGCAACCAAAAACTGTAGTGCTGGATTATAACCAAGAGCTTAAAACACCTACCCAGGTGTCCACACCGGGAGAAATAAGTGATTGCATAGGTTTCTTCTTTAAAATCAGATTGAATAAAAATCTCCTATGCAGAAGAATCCACGTATTTGATGCAGACACTCAGCCATCCATCAAGGAGGTGAAGATAACTCCCTTCTGCAGAAGTGTGGGTTGCCCAAACTAAGTTCATCCAAGAGAAGACACACAGTATGGACACAGGGAAACAAGTAACTTCACTGTGGGAAAAGCTGACACATAATAACTTAGCCAGGAGTCCAAGTAAATGAACAGTGATAAGTTGCCTTGAGGCCTATTCCCTTAATATAAAGTGATGATTAGGTTACCTGCCTCCTCAAGACACATAACCCCAGTCTAATCACAAGAAAAACACCAACCTGATCAGTCTTCCTCCACACTGTCAAGGTCATAGAAACAAGGTGAGTCTGAGAAACTGTCAAAGCCCAGAAGAGACTAAACAGACATGACGACTACATGTCATGTGGTGCCCTGGATGGGATACTGGAACGGAAAAGGTAGAATAAAGGTAAACTGAATAAAATATGGATTTCCGTTCATAATAAAGTATCAGTATTTGTTCACTAAATGTGACAATTCTGTAGAATAAGAGAAACATATTGCATCAAACTAAAGATCTAGAGGAAATTGGTGATTTCTTAGTGAAAACACACATTAACAAAATGGACCCTAAAATAACAACATACAAGCAGTCCCATTTGTGACCCAGAGACCTCTTCCCTCCTGATTCTCCTCTCAATGTTCTGGGGTTTCCCTTTCCTGGACAGGGAAGGAACAGGGACAGAGCTGTTTGGCTGCTCCTCTAAGATCTGACCCGACCCCGTGTCTTCATGTTCCCCACCCATCCCCACCCAACGAGGACACCCTGCCAGAGGGAGTCTCAGGACTTATTCAACAGCCCCTGTTTCCACCCACACTCTGCGCAATCCAGCCTTCACGCCTTGTGACTCACTCAATACCATTCAGATATACCTACTTGCACCCTCGCTGTGTGCATTTAAAAACCACTATTTACAGATGACGTGTGCAAATAACCAACTTCTCAGATACACTCATTCTGCAAAATCCAATTTTTACTCTTTAGAAAGAAAGTTTTTAATTCAACATTCAATCCAGGCACACTCAATGTCTGCAATAAATACTCTATGTATATTCATTCCGCTCCATCCAACAGACAGGTCTTGCCCGATCACTCTGGGCTAATCAACCATGTCTCACATACAGATGGACCTGGGGTGATCTCATAAATCACTCCAGAATGAAAATGCAGTTGATCCCACACCTCACCCAGAGTGAAACTGGATTGACCACAGACCTCACGTCAAGGTGGAACTGGGCTTATCCCACATATCACCTGCAGGTGGAGCTGGAGCTGATGCGACACCTCTCCCCAGGGTAGAACTGGGGTTCATCCCACACCTCAAGTGAAGGTGGAACTGCAGTTGATTCCACACCTCACCTCAGGTAGAACTGAGGTTTAACTCATCTCACCCCACGGAGAACTCTGGTTGACCTCACATCTCGCCTCAGGTGGAAGTGGGGTCAATTTCACACCTCAACTCCAGATGGTGCTGGGGTTGATGCAAAACCTCACCTCCAAGTGAGCTGGAGTTAATACCACACCGCACCACATGGCAGAGCTGCAGCGGATCCATCTCCCCTCAGGGTGGAATCTGGGTTGATTCAACACCTCATTCAGTGGGGAGCTAGGGTTGATTGCACATCTCATATCAGTGTGGAACTGGGGTTGGTTCCACATGTCAAATAGGGCGCAGCTGGGGTTGATCCTACATCTCATATCAGGGGAGAGATGGGGTGGATCCCATATCTCACCTCACAGAGAGAGGGGATTGATCCCACACCTCACCTCAAGGTGGAAATGGAGTTGATCCCACATCTCACCTCAGGTTAGAACTGGATTTGACGCCACACGTCATCTCTGGATCAAATCGTAGTTGATCCCACACCGCACCTCAGGGTTGAAGTGGGGTTAATCCCACACCTCACCTCAAGTAGAACTGGGGTTTATCCCACCTCTCACCTCAAGTAGAACAGGGGTTCATCCCACACCTCTGTCCAGGGTGGAGCTCGTGTGGATCCCACACCTCAACTCAGGTTCAACCTGGGCTGTTTCCACACCTCACCATGGTGAAAAGCTGTGGCCGATCCCACACCTCCTCCAGTTAGGGTGGAACAGTGTTCGACCCAACAGCTCACCTCAGGATGGAGCTGCAGGTGGTCCCCCACCTCACCTTAGTTGATTCCACGCCTTACCTCGGGTAGAACGGGGTTTAATCTCACCATACTCATCTCACGTAGAACTCGGGTTATTCTCACACCTCAACTCCATGGGGACTAGGGGTGATCCCACATCTCACCTCAGGTTGGAGCTAAGGTTAATCCCACATTTCACAACAGGGTAGAGATAGGGTTGATGCCAAATCTCACCTCAAGGTGGAACTGGGGTTGGTCTCACATCTCATCTCAGGTAGTTCTGGGTTTTATCCCACACCTCACCTCAGGGTGGAACCAGGTTGGATCCTACACCTCGTCTCAGGATGGAGCTGGGGTTTATCCCAACCCTCACCTTAGGAAGGAACTCTCTGTCTCAGCAGCTAATTGAATTGACATGCAAAATGGGCTCTTCTCTCATTATTTGCTGATTTAGATGACGAATGAGGGGAGACTGACATTTTGCTAGAGCGTCTGCCTCCTGAAACAGGCCTCGAGGTACCAGAGCGACATAGCTTTTATTTCGCGTGAGACTGAAGAGACAGCGTGGGAGCGGGGGGCACGGTGCCAGCGCTGGCGTGTCCTGGGGCGTCAGCCCCGCCGCCTCTGCTTTTCCTTAGGCAGCAGGTGGCCCGTGGGCTATGTGAAGAAGAACAGCTGTTCCACTTTGTCCTTGTCCGCCAGCTCGTGCCTGGGCGCCTCCTTGCTCTGCAGGGCAGGCGGCCGCGAGCGGCACACCAGCCTCCTGCCACTCTGTGGGGACGGGCACGCCGTGAGCCTGCGCCCTGACCGCAGAGCCCCAGCGCTGAGGTCTGGACACCTGGCCCGAGTGCGCCAGAAGCCCAGGGCCCATGCCAGCCTCTCTGGTCATTCGTGGCCACTCGTGGTCAGTGGGCGGGCCGGGGCCACTGTGAGCGCTACGGGGGAGGAAGTCTAAACAGCCTGGACCGGGCCTGCCCCCCCGGGATGAGCTGGGCGTGGGGAGAGAAGGGGGGAAACCTGGAAACTCAGGGGAAATGCCAGGCTGAAGGGCCCGTCTCTCCTGCCGCAAGGATTACGGGAGACCCCGCAGTGTCCTCATTTGTCCTTGGGGCCGTGTTGAGGCTCAGGCCTGCTTTAGGGGCCACGCATCCTGACGCCGGGGCCGGAGGCCAGAGGCCGCTCCAGCCCACTTGCTGTGGTGGAGGACGCAGCTGTTGGGGGGCCCTTACTGAGGGATGATGACCTTGGCCTGTGGTCTGGCTGAAACATAGGTGGGACCCTGGGGTGGGGGCTGAGCTGTGGGTGCCAGCGCTCTGGGCGGAGGGCCCGCAGCCCGGCAGGGCTGGGAGGACACCCGGAGGAAGCAGGTCCTGAGGGGCAGGTGGGGCGGCGGGCCTGGAACGGGAGAACTTGCTCCACCCTGACCCCGCTCTGCTGGCCCATCTCCCCCCGAGGACCTCAGCAAGAGCATCTGCAAAAGGGGGCGAGCCGGGGGGCCTGCAGGCCATCACCCCTCCCGGGCCCCGGCGCCTCCCCAGGGCCACCTCGCCCACCTTCTTCTTGACCTCGGCCTGGGCCCGGGCCTGGGCCCGCTGCACACGTTCCTCCTGCAGTTGCTTCTGCAGCATTAGCTTCTCTTCCCGGAGTCTGGGGGACAGGAAGAGAGGGGCTCACGACCAGAGGCCCAGGGAAGGCCACCGAGTCACCAGCTCCCTCCCACACAGCCCTCAGGCCACAGCCCTCCATCTTCTGAGAAAACTGCCCACTCCTCTCCACCTCCCTGCCAGGGGGCAGGGCCTGGCTTCTGACCCTTGCTCCGTGCAGGTCGCGGCTCTGGGCTCATGCCCCCGGGAGACCCGACTTCCTAGCTCGTCATCCCTGGTCACCGATCCACTCCCCCATCGCCGCCCTTGAAGGCCCAGGCCCCAGCAAGCTCTAGAGTCCCGTGTCGTCCTCTGTACTTGTGGCCGTCAAACCTTTGTCCAGTGCCCGCTCTGGCAGGGCCCAGGGACACACAGGAAGAGCCCTTGTGCATGTGGCAGAGACATGGCTGCTTGCAGGTGACCGTGTCTCGGGGCTCTGCTAGGACCGAATGAATCAGGTGGCCAGGGACTGGCCTGCACCCCACTGTGCCTGTGGGGAGCTCCACGGGCCTCCCTTCGGAGCCGGGCGTCCCCTGCTGACCTAGGCTCCCCTCAGCTGCTCCCAAGCGGGCGCCTTCCCCCTCCACCGCCCCCCATCCCGGGCTCTGGCAGTGCAGCTCCTCTCCCCCTCCAGTCCAGCCAGCACAGTGCCTGCCACCGTCCCTTGTCCCCGGAGGCAAGGCCGGCTGGCCGCACCCTCAATTTGGCTCCCAGGCCCCCTGACACCACCACACGCCCCACTCCCAAACAGGGACTTTCTCCGTCGGGCTGAGTGTGCCGCCCCGTCTGGACCCCCAGACGCCCCCAGACGCCCCCAGATCCCGGCTCCCCTCCCTCAGCATGCAGCGCCAGGTCCTGCCGCTGGTTTGGGAGCTCCGCGGGCAGGGCCGCATCCGACCTCTGTCCTCAGTGCCAGCCCAGAGCCGGGGCAGGGGTGTGAGGGTCCCTCGCCCCCCAGGCCCTCCCGCTGAGAGACAGCTGCACGACCGGTGGGACCTCACCTCAAACGGCGCTCCTTCTCCTTGGCTTTCTCGGCCTGCTCGACCCTCACCTGGGGCACCCGCTCCAGGTTCTCGAGCAGCTCGTTCAGCTGGTGCTCGATGGTGGCCAGCATCTTCACGGTGCCCATGCTGGACTCCTGCTGGCTGCCGACACAGTGCCGGTACACGTCCAGCACCTTGCGGTTCAGGCTCTCCAGCAGCCTGTCCTGCGAGGCGGGAGGCCCCCCTCCGGTGTGGCCATGCGGGACTGGGCCGGCCCCGTGCCACAGCCTGCCAGACCTCTCACTGCGGCTTCTTTGACCTCCCAGGGCCCTGCCCGGCAGGCAGTGGGGCTCGGGAAGTGGGGGGGGGGTACAACTGGACGCCTGGACTTCTCTTGGCCAGAGTGCCTGACCCCTTGGCCCTCTTGTGGCCAGCCAGATCCTGGGTCCCGGCACCTACTGGGGCTCATGTCTGGGCCTCGGGGTGCCCACTGAGGCCCAGTCCCCTATTCCAGGAGCCCGCCTTGTCCTGCCCCCGCGCTGACCTCAGCTCCCCCCAGGACCACGCTCTGTGGCCTGCTTTCTGTATAGCCCTGGGCAGGTGGACTCCCCTCTCTCAGCCTGTCCTGGCATTCAGAAAACTCAACAACCGCTGTCCCACGGGGTGGTTACAAGAGGAGCAGCAGGCACAGGCCAGGCACAGGGCACAGCCAGTGCCCGCTAGTCTGCAGGAGGCGCGGACGCCTGGCCTGCTCTCGGGGCATCCCATGCACCTGGCCCGATGCCTGGTGCACAGTAGGCATTCAACGGGAATTTGAATGAACTAGGAAGGCAGGTGCACACCCTGGGCCCCGGGCATGCTGTCAGGAGGGGTGTGCCCGGTCCCAGGACACATCCCTGGCCTCTGTGCCCTCAGAACTCTCTCCCCCGCCCCCAAGTCTGCCCTCCTCTTGGCAGGGTCACTTCCAGACACACTGTGTGTGTTTAAGAAGCTGATGTAGTCACTGAAGGGAGCAAAGGATAGAGGAGGTGTGTCGGGGAGCTGCCTGTCCACGGGGCGTGAATACATGGCTGGTTCTGCTTTGAGGCCAACGGCCTTGTCCAGTGGTGCCCCTGGGTCAGGCCCAGAGCCTGGACGCTGGCCAAGGGCCAGGGCAGCCCCAGAGCACCGCGTCCCCGGGGCTTTGCTCTCCCACCATCCGAGCTCTGGGCACTGGGCCCCGTCCCAGCAGGTGCCCATGAATGCCTCCACCCTCCCACCCTGGCCTGTGGCCACACGCCCTCTGCCCACCACCGCCCACGGGCAGCCATCTGTCCATCCAGAGGCCCTACCTCCTGATCACCCTTGTACTCGCCGAAATGGAAGATGCGAGCTTTGAGCTCCAGCTCCGCGGCCATCTCCTCCTCCCTGGCGACGGACATCCTCAGTGTGTTGATCCACTGCTTCAGTTGGCTGACCTCCCGGTCCCTGGATGGGGGACCAGCACCGCTCTGAGCCTGCCGGCCTCTGCCGCATGCCGAGGGCTGGGTGAGGCCCAGGGTCAGAGGCGCTGGTGAGATGCAGGAGGAAAATGTAAGATCTTTAACAAGCCACACTAAAAAAAAAAACGAAAACAAAAACCAGCCTTACTGAGGTATATAATTCACCATAAAATTCTTCACAAGTGTACAATTCAGTTGTTTTTAGTAGAGTTGCAAAGGTGTACAACCATCACCATAATCTAATTTTAGAACATTTTCACCACCTGGGGAGAAACCCAGGCGGTCACTCCCACTCTTCCGTCTCCCCTACTTTGCCTCCTGGATATCTCAGTAACATGGAGCCACATGACATTTGTCCCTCTGTGTCTGGCTCTTTCATTCAGAATAATGTTTTCAGGTCTGTCCGTGTTGTAGCGCGTATCAGAGCTTCACTCCTTTCTGTGACCGCTGTGGTCCATTTATGACTCTGCAGTAGTGCACTGTGTGCAGAGGCCACACTTTGCTGATGGCTTCTTCACCACTGGACACCTGGGTACTGCCCACCTTTAGGCTCTTGGGAATAATGCTGCTATGGACATTGACAGGACAGGGCTTGGTGAGGACATGTTTTCAATTCTCTTAGGAATAGGACAGCAACAATCAACTCTTACATGAAATAATATATTGAGAAGTTTTTTAAATCTTTCACAATCATGGCAGATACTGACCGTTGTACGTTGGGGTTTCTGGAGCAGGAATCCTGGCTCTTAGGGTGGTCGTGGGGCCGTCCTGTACGGGCGGCTGCATGCAAGTCCTGGCCAGGGTAAGCAGGACATTGGCCACTCAGCCAGCAGTGCCGGGAGGCCTAGAGGTGTCCCTTACCCCTACGGTGATTTTGTGGCTCTGCGCATTGGTTGATGGAACCTACTGACATTTTCTCCTTTATAGGCCAAGTGCCATGGGCTGCTGCTCCTTTGCCCACTGGGGGCCACCGGTCCGTCACACGCCCCGCCACAGGGTTACAGGCCTCAGCCTCCCAGTGCCCCCCCGGGCTGCAGCCCCATGGCTGTGGGGCTGAGGCCAGAAGCCTGAGCATGAGGGATCCTGACCTGGTCTGGCCAGCTCTCCTGGGCTCTCAGAGGCAGATGGCCTGAGAGGCCACATGCAGCTCACACATACCCTCCCCCCGGGCCCTTGTGGGGTGCACGCAGGTTGCCCGGGACAATAACAGAGGCCGGACACCCCTCCAACCCTGAGTGCCCACCAAAAGGGCGGGTGCGTTTGGGGTCAGTGATGCATCTCCTAAGGGTACGTGATTGCACTCGGTTCTAGCCTGTTTTGTAAAGCTTCCTCTACGTCCAGTGCCTGGACCCATGAGTGACCCTACAGCCGGCACCTCTGCTACGTGGACCAGGTTGGGGGCCGGGGGGTAATTTTGTTGTTCTATTTCTTCTCCAGGTAATTGGGATAAAAAGGTACCTATTCCCCACTAGTTCTCTTTAAATGTCAAATTGTTGGGTCACAGGCTTTTCTCTACCACCAGATCCCACTGGTAAAGGAGAAAAGTCTCAGGAAACGCAGGGCATGAGGGACACACTGCTCAGTGTCGGTCCTTTCAGACCAGCGTGCACATCACCGGCACATCTGTCAGAACCGCAGGGTCCAGGCCCCACCCAGGACCTGCCCAACTAGAGACTTCACTTACCAAGATCCCCGGGAACCCTCCTACAGCGTGGGAGGGAATGCAAGCTGCTGCAGCCCCTGTGGAGAGCAGTATGGAGGATCCTCAGAAAGCTAAAAATAGAGCCACCATGTGACCCAGCAATCCCACTCCTGGGCATGTATCCAGACAAAAGTCTAACCCAAAGAGATACATGCATCCCCATTTTCAGAGCAGCACTGTTCACAACAGCCAAGACATGGAAACGACCTAAGTGTCCGTGGACAGACGAATGGATAAAGAAGACGTGTTGCATATATACAATAGAATACTACTCGGCCATAAAAAAGAATGTAATAGGACTTCCCTGGTGGTCCAGTGGTTAAGACTCCGTGCTTCCAATGCAGGGGGCACGGGTTCAACCCCTGGTTGGGGAACTAAGATCCCACATGCCACAGGGTGCAGCCAGAAAGTAAAAAAAGAAAAAAAAAATAAAAGAACGCCATTTGCAGCAACATGGATGCAACTAGAGATTGTCCTACAAAGTACAGTAAGTCAGAAAGAGAAAGACAAATATATGACATCATTTATATGTGCAATCTAAAATATGACACAAATGATCCTATCTACGAAACAGAAACAGACGACAGACAGAGATAAAAGACTTGTGGTTGTCAAGGGGGAGGAGGTTGAGGGAGGGACGGAGTGAGTGGGAGTGTGGGGTTAGCGGATCTAAGCTATGATATACAGAATGGATAAGCAACAAGGTTCTGCTGTAGAGCACAGGGAACTGTGTTCAGTACCCTGTGATGAGCCATAACGGAAAGAACTATTTAAATATACATGTACATGTTTGCGTGCCGGAATCACGTTGGCACAGCACCCGAGGAGCGTTTTGCCACCGGAAAAGTGATCACACAGGGCGGGAACCTACGGGTTGAAAGGGACTTAAAGATACAACTGATTGCAGAGTATTGATCTTATTTGGATTCTAATTCAAATTAATGATTGAAAAACTCCATTTATGGATTTTGAATATTCAATATTAAGGATTTCTTTTTTTAATGCTATGATGGTATTGTGGTTAATTTGAAGAGGCCTCATCTTTTTAGAAGTATCTATTGAAACAGTTAAAGATTAAATGACACAATGCCTGGAATTTGCTTCAAAATAATATGGGAGGGACTTCCATGGTGGCACAGTGGTTAAGAATCTGTCTGCCGATGCAGAGGACATGGGTTTGAGCCCTAGTCCGGGAAGATCCCACATGCCGCGGAGCTACTAAGCCCATGCACCACAACTACTGCGCCTGCACTCCAGAGCCCACGAGCCACAACTACTGAGCCCACATGACACAACTACTGAAGCCCACGCGCCTAGAGCCCATGCTCCACAACAAGAGAAGCCACCGCCATGAGAAGCCCATGCACCCCAATAAGAAGCCCATGCACCACAATAAAGAGTAACCCCTGCTCACTGCAACTAGAGAAAGCCTGCACGCAGCAACAAAGACCTAATACAGCCAAAAATAAATACATAAATAAATTTATAAAAATAATATGGGACATAGGGAAGTGGGTGGGGTCTAGGTGAAGGGAGATTGGCTACAAGTTGATCACTGGTGAAGCTGGTGATGGGATCCTGGAGACTCATTATACCATCCTCTCTACTTCTGAAGATTTTTTTTTGATGTGGACCATTTTTAAAGTCTTTATTGAATTTGTTAAAATATTGCTTCTGTTTTACGTTTTGGCTTTTTGGCCCCGAGGCATGTGGGATCTTAATTCCCTGACCAGGGGTCGAACCCGCACCCCCTGCACTAGAAGGCGAAGTCTCAACCACTGGGCCTCCAGGGAAGTCCCGCCTCTCTACTTTTGTATATGTTTATGTGTTTGAAATTTTTTTAGAGCCACTGGGCTGAACTGGAGAAGTTATAATAGGTTTTATAGACAGTAACAAGAAAGGGAATCCCTTCATAAATACCTGGGGACATATACTCAGAAAGTTTGCTGAACTGGTATTAAAGAGACAGAGAGAGAGAGAGAAAAGCGAGCAGAACCAAATGTGAATAAAGGTCATTCAAAGACCAAGCAAAAGAGAAGGAGTTACCATTTTCCTGCAGAAATAGCAGCAAAAAGAACAAAAATAACATATTTTGAAGTAGGGGGAGATGGTAGAGTAGGAAGCCCCAGGAGTCTACCTCCCCATCCAGACCACTGTTGCACTGGCAGAACTGTGATGGAGCTCTTCTGTAACTCTGGAGTCTGTTGAGGCTTGCAGTTTCTAGGGGAAGACTCTGATGTAAAACTGTGTTAATTTCTGTCCCTTTCAGCACTGAGCACAGTAACAGCTACCTATCCCCCACCTCCATCCCTGTGGCAGCATCCACAAGGGAAAGTCTCAGAAAAGACCTGAGACCTTAAGTTTACACCTCAGGCTGATTCTCAGCACAAAGATAGCGTACAACAATCAAAAAAACCAAAACCAACAAACAATGGCAACAATAAACAGAAAACCCTGGGGAAGAGACAGAATGTGATTTCCAGAGTTAACACATTATTAGACTCAAATATTCAGGTTTTACCAAAAATTCACAAGGCACACATAGAAATGAGAAAGTATGGCCCATTGACAGGAAAAACAAACAAACTGTTCCTTAAAAAAACATGATGGCAGGTATACTACCAAGACTTTTAAAAAACTGTGTTAAAAGATGCTCAAAGAGGGGCTTCCCTGGTGGCGCAGTGGTTGAGTGTCCGCCTGCCTATGCAGGGGACACGGGTTCGTGCCCTGGTCCGGGAAGATCCTACATGCCACGGAGCGGCTAGTCCCATGAGCCATGGCCACTGAGCCTGCACTTCCGGAGCCTGTGCTCCACAACGGGAGAGGCCACAACAGTGGGAGGCCCGCGTACCACAAAAAAAAAAAAAAAAAAAAAAGATGCTCAAAGAACTAAAAGAAGATGTGGAGAAGGTCGAGAAAATGATGTGTGAACAAAATGGAAATATGCACAAAGAAGTAGAAAACTTAACAAGAAATCAGAAAAGAAAATCTGGAGCTAAAAAACATAATCATTGAAATAAATAATTCACTAGAGGGATTGAAAGGCAAATTTGAGCAGGGAGAAAAAACAGTCAGTGATCTTGAAAAGAGGACGATGGAACCTATGGAGGCTGAGGAACAGAAAGGAAAAGACTGAAGAAAAGCAAACAAAGCCTAAGGAACCTGTAGGACAACATCAAGAGGACCAATATATGCATTGTGGGCGTCACAGAAAGAGAAGAGAGAGAAAGAGGCGGAGAATATATCTGAAGAAATAATGGCTGAAAAGTTTGCAAACTGGATGA